CACATATAAAAAGGTTTTTCAATGGATACTTGAAAAATACTCACTTGGGTAAGTAGCATGTTCACAGAAAAGTGCATATGCTTCACATTTTTCGAGTAACTCTTCGTGCGGGCCTTCTCCCTTTATTTTTCCGCCTTCCATGTAGCAGATTCGATCGCATTTAGCAAGCCGCTAAATAAAGTTGCTTCAGTCAGACAAGTAAAGTATTTTTGTGTGATTATATTTTCAACTTACAGGCTAGAAAGACAAACTAGAAAGTTCATTGTGAAAAACCCGGTATATCAAAGGCTTCGACTGTGAAATACAGGACGACAAAACAGTGTCTGCCCTAAGTATTCACCCGCTCTAGCAACATTTCCACTTCTCAGTGAAGAACTGAAACTGGATGTTCGGAGAGGATGAGGGCAGTTGTTCGCTACAAAATGCACTCGCTTCTGAGTGAAACCAGCGCAAAAATCCGAGGAAAAACGTCTGCTCGCATAAGTTAATTTTTGTGCCCCTCGCCTAAACACATTGTCACTCTTCTCCATCATGTTCTTCCTCCCCTTTCGGTAGAAGTTGTTCCGAAATCAAACATTTCGATCCATATAAGAATGTACTAATTTTCTTTAAGTTTTTTTTTTAACTGGTTAGAAATGCAGATAAGTATGAAGCAGCAGATAACTTATCAGCTGATTTGAATTTAAAAACTTGAATTTGAAAAATTTAAATTTTAAATTAAATTTTAACTTAAACTTTTCCGGATTAAATTAAATTTTTAAATCAAATTTTTCTGGATTAAATTAAATTTATTTTAAATTAAATTTTTTCTGGATTAAATTTTAATCTGAATTTAAAAAACTCCAAGTCAACCCCCCTGCCCTAAATTCATCTTATAGGAAAAGCTAAGGAAAATGGAAATAATCTGAGCGGTAGCAAATGCTAACAGCAATCGCTCGCTGGTAAGGTTACTGATAATTACGGCTCCTTTTTTTCGGGGTTATATAAAAGCAATTTGATGGGATTTCACTTATTAAACATATCTGGGTAGTGATTTTGCGAAAAACTGCAAGAACTAACATTGACGTCCGTGCTAATCATGATAACAGTTTTGTTTGCAAGCATTTCTTTGACGGCACGTTTAAAGATACGATCGGCTACTTGTTGATCCAGGGAAGCAAATATATCATCCAGAACATAGATGCGAGAATTTGAAAAAAGTGCCCGGGCTAGAGAAATTCGCGCTTTCTGCCCTCCAGAAATGGTTACTCCACGTTCTCCGATCTGAAAAAAAAAAAATGCACAAAAATTATCCACAAACTACAAACTACTGGTAACAGGACCCAGCAAACTTGATGATACTTTTACAGTTCCCTACCCCCCTCTCCTGCCCC